CAGACAGAGACAGAGACCGAGACAGAGACAGACAGAGACAGACAGAGACAGAGAGAACATTAACTTTGAATCAGAGTGTGAAATATATTCTTAATCTCCTAATGAAGATGTAGGACTGAATTATGTCCAGCTAACTTGCATCCTGCACTAAATTTTGGCAAGATAGAAAAGACAAATAGTTGAAGAAAAATCCCATTCAACAGAAAAACTGTTCAAAAGAATTAGGATGGGGGAATCGCACTAAGTTATGTGGTAGGAGAAGTACAGAGAGGAGATACACAGTCAGAAAAGGAGAGAAGCGTTTTGATTTAGTTCTTTGAATGGAAAGCAACATCAAAGATTGTTTTTTAAAAAAATAAAAAAGACTGGAAAAAATAAAAGAATACAGAGGATTAATGAATGTCAAAGTAATACAAATCAGAGTTGACTAAAAAGCACCAGGGAGCCAGATGTTCTGAATACATGGGGAAAAAACAGAAATAGTTCTTCCATATATACCCTTAGTGCCAACCATCCATCACTTCCGCCTTTATTCCCTCCGCTGTATCTTATACAGATTCGACTTTCCTTCTCCATACTGCAGGTATCTGTTTGCCTAAGCTACAAAAGTATCAGAGAACAGTGGTCCCAGAGGGTCCCCAGCTCCCCTATTGGATAAAATATGCAAGTGAACCATTGACAGCCTAAACCTGTTGCTGTCCAACTGCTGAGCTATTTGCTCCTGTGCCTCTAAGAGACAGAGGCCCCCAGAACTTATCCCAGGTGATAAGATAGAGGTGTTGAGACGCTTGTGAAACAGGAGAAGGGAGTGGGCAAAGGGGAGGAGCAGTTGAACAAATGGTTACCAATGTCAATGGGGAGAAAGGTTTCGAGATCTCTAAAGAAGGAAAGGGGGTGGAGTTGAGAGACAAGAAAACAGCTTGAAGAAAAGAAAACACTTGCCTGTGCTTTATTCTCCTATAGAGTCTTAAGCCCTTTAAAAAAAATCTAATGAGGTACAATATATATTTTAAAATTTCCATAAGTGTGCAGTTCAATGAATTTTTACCTGTATATGCCTCCTTTGAACATTCTCCACATAATTTCAGTACTTTAAGAAGCTAGTTCTGCCCTTCTCAGTGAAAACCGCCCTCCCCAGAGACAACTGCTATTCTGATTTCCATCATCAAAGATTAATGTTACCTGTTCTTGAATTTAATGAATATAGAATTTAGACTATACATGTGTCTGGTTTCTTTCATTTATCATTGTCGGCGAGATTCATCCATACAGTTGCATGTTCATTTTTTTTTTATCACTGTGTAATATTTCATTGCATAACTATATGATGTTTATCTAGTCTATTGGTGCACCTTTGGGTTGTTTCCATTTTTGTCTATTATGAAAAACCCGCTATGAACGTTCTTGTACATGTCTTTTGGTGGATATATTGCAATCATTGATCCTGAGTATACACCAAAGAGTATAGATCGCTTAATTTGCTTTTGGCTACTACATGGAGGGGGGATATCTCATGATGCCTACTTTCTTTCTGAAGTAATTGATTAAGGGGATAATGGCGAAAGCTATCATCCGGAGCACCAAATAAATACCTAAAATATATCAGAGCCTTTATACATAATCTCATTTCCTTCTCAACGATTCTAAAAAGTATGTATTATTATCGTTTCTAATTTGCTAATGATATTGAATGCTATGCATTGTATCAGGCAATGGCCTTGACCTCCTAAAGCAGCCGTCTCAGTGGCGGTGGTGGTTGTCTCAGTGGCGGTGGTGGTCGCAGTGTGTGTAAGTCCTCCATGAGAGGAGCTATGAGAAAAGGAAGTGATGGAAGGTCTCGCTGCATAGATGAGGCTGGATACTGGTCTGCAGAGAGGGGACGATCTGAGAACACAGAGTGGTCCATTCCAGGGAGGGTGCACGAGAAGAGTGAAGCTGGGAAATGGGCTTTAATCTGATTGGGATGTGTGAGTGCATTATGGGAGGATGGGGGAAGGATAGTGCAGTAAGCAATAAAGCTAAGAGAACAGGGAATAGGAAATTTGGAAGAGTTTTTAAATTTCTAAACCATGCTTGAACTTACCCCATAGTGGAGAAAAACTTAAATAAAAAAAACTTCGTAAAGCCAGATTTCATGAAGATCAACCTGGTAGCTGTGTGAAGAATAAGTTAATAGCAGGGAAAGCGTTCAAAAGCTATGATGATTCGAGGAGCGAGGCCATTCGTACTCGAATATAGGAAGTTGGGCCCCGGGAGAAAAGTCAAAGTTGGAGATGACAGAATCTGATATTTTATAGTATCTTAGTGAATATAAATACTTGTACTTCTATTACCTGTAGCCTATAGGGTGGGCAGAGATAACTGACCCCGTTTTACTGATGCGGATACTGAAGATAAGAATGGTCTGGGCTTCACTCCAAATAAGCAAATTATAGAGCTGAGACTTGAATTCGAGCCTGATGTTTCACTAAGATAATGATTGAGATGCATGCACATTTCTTCCAGTCCCATTTAAATGTTACAGGTGGTCTAGTTTCTGTGAACTTCAACCTCTCCCCCATCTCTAGGTATTTAGCTCCCCGAAAGGAGGCCATATGACAGCATATGCATGTTTACAGGAATCCAGTGTCCTGGAAAAATGCGATCTCTTTTTATTTGTACAGTTCTCTTGCATGATCCTTCCATTGAGAAAAAGATTTATGAACACCAAGACATTTCCAACTGTTTCCAACTCAGTATACATTTTAAATGGTCATTTTATCAATGTACTATTTTTCTTATAAATGTGAATAAGAAAGCATGTAAAAATGACTATAGATAGGCAAAGAAAACTAAATATTGACTTATCAGAAAATCAACCCCAAATGATTCACTTGGATTTTCTAAAATGGTTCAAAACACTTCAGAAAATTAGAAAGAAAAATTTCAAAATAATAGTAGATTACATGTACTCAAAAGCCGGAGTGCTTTTCTTCTAGAATCTGTCCATGCCTAGCCTACCGCCCAGCATACTATAGGTATGTAAATGTTTACTGAATGAGTTACTGTGACCCATAAGGTCCAAAAATTATCACGGATACTCCAAGTATATCTTAGCTGTGTGATGGAAAGAGCACTAAGCAAGGAAGTCTTATGGTCTCCACCCCTTTTGAGCAGACCGATGTTGGGTAAATCACCTCACTATTTCGCCGACCTCGATTTTCTCATCTGTTAAACGAGAGACTGGACAGACAGATGATCTGGTAGTATCTTGCCATTTTTTGCATTCTAGGTGTGTTCTTCTGGCATTCACCTAATTTTTCAATGCTAAACCTTTTATAACTAAGTTTAATACTGCTTTTTATACTGGGGAGAGTAGGAAAAAGTATCATGGAGTCTTTCCCTCAATATCTCCTAGGGGAGTAATGAAGATGAAGATGAGTTTTAGAAAGGTCATTAGCGGATAAATCTTTTTTGCAGGAGTTTGCTATGTAGTTAATATACCTCTGGGTTAGTGCTCAGGTATATCAGATTCAAACTTATAATAAAGTTTTTTTCTTTTTTGTTGGAAACCTCGCACTCTTAAACATGATCTTAAATATGGCTCTTTTTTTTTTTTTTCTATTCCCATCCATCAACTAGAGTAGCCTTGTGAAATACGCGGCAAAAACTTTTGTAAAGGACACGCATTCACATATGCCAATAAACTGACATCAGGTAGAAATAAGAATGAAATTGTTTTTAAAATGGGAGTCCTTTTTGAGAAGTTTGATGCGTTAAACTCCTAGAGAGTACAAATTACGTATAACGGTCTTATAGCACCTAATGTTTAAGTCGGTACGGAATAAGTGACAGCGGAGGGGCAAACGTTCCAAATAAGTTGCTGATTATTATATGAGAAAAGTTCCATTAAAGATGAGATTCCAGCACACACAAATGTCACTTTCTACCTCCTTTTATTGCATACTGTCATCGTTTTAAGGCAAGGCTGCCTGGCACGCATGGAAACAAAATTTTACATGATTTTTGTAGTTATCACTTTCATCTACTCTGTTCTACTCTTGATCGAGCTGGGATTGACTTGGTCCAACCCATGGACATGCTTTCCTTTTGTTAAGAGGGCTTAGAAACTTTAGTTTTTCTCACATTTTCTTCCAGCTCTGTTCTGGTTCCTGGATTCTCTAAAATTAAAGGCTCAACATTTCATGGAGCTAGCTTTACTTTTTCTATCAATTACAGCATTTCCAAATCATCTTTGTAGTGGTTACAACAGATAGTTAGCATTTGTAACAGAAATGAAACAAAGGATCAGAGAAGTTGCAAATAGAAGTTGTGGTCTCTCACTTAGCTGTATGTAGTAGGCTGGTTTGTTCTTGTTGTTCATATCTACCTCTTGGTCTATCTTTATCTATATGACTAATAACTTCTTTAACAATGTCTGCAAAGTTAGTGCTGAGTTAAAAATACAGATGTGCATTTATCCCAGTACCCACTTCTCCAATATACAAATCCAACTACTGGGTGAAACAAGGCAAGCATAGGACCGACCACCTATATCCACAAAATAACTGGGTGTGGATTTGCAAGTAGAGAGCCCCCCCTCACCTGCTCTGAGTAAGCGCCTTTTAAAATATGTGTGTGTGTGTGCGCGCGCCCGCGTGCACGCGCCCTTCCCGAGCCATCTGGATGATGATGCGAAAGAGAGGATTTTTGCATTGCAAAGACTGATTTTTTAAAAATGCTGTGCAGGTAGTTGATATCCAAGCGCGTGGTCCTCCTGGGGGATGCAAAGGAGGGGAAAGGCGGCCGCACCAGCAGCCTGCTGGGGGCTGACCTGATTCCCTAGAATCCTCGCCTCCCTTCCTCTTTCCTCGCTACGTCCTTCCTTCTCCTTTTCTCCTCTCCCCCCGCCCCCTTTTCCCTTCCCCAGATAAGCAGTTCTCAGAAACAAAGAACGCGGGGCTCTCCAGGCGTCAGCGCTTAAGCCCCGCGCACGCACCGCAAGCGGCAGCTCGTTGCGGGGACCAGGGCTCTCCGGCTGCACGTCCCCTCTCCAGCCGCCCCCGCCTCCCGCACGCGCTCGCTCGCTCCCTCCCAGCTCGCTTCCTCCCCCACCTTCGCAGCGCTGGGAGGAAGGCACCGGGGCTCAAGATGGCTTTAGCCGGGCTCTGCGCCCTGCTCGCCTGCTGCTGGGGGCCGGCGGCGGTGCTGGCCACGGCCACGGGCGAGGTGGATCCTTCCAAGGAGCTGGAGTGCAAGCTCAAGAGCATCACGGTGTCGGCGCTGCCCTTCCTGCGCGAGAACGACCTGAGCATCATGCACAGCCCCTCGGCCTCCGAGCCCAAGCTCCTCTTCTCTGTGCGCAACGACTTCCCGGGAGAAATGGTCGTGGTGGACGACCTGGAGAACACGGAGCTGCCCTACTTCGTGCTGGGTGAGTCCCGGGGGAGGTCGAAGCGGACGGAGGCGCGGCCCGGCGCCCCCACCCCCACCTCGGCTCGCCCTGCACACCCACCGTCCGGTGACCGCCCCTCCCCCACTCCTACCTCGCTGGATCCGCCCCATTCCAGGCCGTTCTCCACACCCACTTGCAGGCTAGCGCCACAGGACACCTGCCTTCTCCCCACATCCGACCTGGATGCTGGGCCCTCCACCTCCTCTCAGCCGCCCTGCCCCGAAGAACTGGTTGCAAGAGTCTTTCTGAAACCGTCTCCAGCCTTGACCTCCCAGCTTTCATTCAGAACACTCCCTCAGCATCCCTCAGCCCTGCCCCCTACTCCCTGGCCATGGGCTCTTTCTTTACTTCATACCCTCCGGACGCCCACCTCCAGGCACAGGCCCTGGGGGAGTTGGAAAAAGAGACCCCATTGTCACCTAGCTTGTCCTGGCTGGATCTTGAGGCTTCACTCAGAGCTATTCATCTGTCACCAGGTTACCCGCTCTGTCTGGCCTTCCTTCAGATCACTCAAGACTCCTGTACCCCTGGTGTCCATCCTGGCAAGTCTTACCTCCCACCTCTGTGTAACCACCCCCTCATGCAGCCTCACCTCTCAGCTCCCTGGATAGATCGTCCAGCTGTCGCCTGTCCGTGTGGTATTTTCTTTGTTTCCCTGGCCACCTTAGGTGGGCATAGGCATTC